GGTAATTTTTTGCATACCAGAGTGAACGGAGAGGTAAAAGAGCAAACATTAGTTAATATTTCTCCACGAGATTTTTTTTTTTTTTAAGCAAATGAAGACTTTTTTTATTTATTTCCGTAAATAAGCATGTTCGAATGTGCACACTCAGCGGTCTAAGCCAAAGAAACACGTCTTGTAAGGGACACTATTTAAAGTGAAATTCTGCTTCTTCTTCTTACCAAACTCGTTATTTTTTGCAGTAATAGTGATTGAGGTGTGATAAAGTTGGACACGGCACTATTGAAATGTCCTTTGTAAGGGAGTCTGCTGGTTAAATAAGAAAGGAGAACTTGGACTGCCTTGGGAACATTACTATCGTAAGAAAGCTATTAAGAAGGTGATTTCCATGTGTTTAAATATGATAATCATCATGGGAGCATAAAAAAACATATGTGTTATGCATATAAATAAGGTTTACCTGTTGCCTGGCCAGGAATGCAAAGGCCAACCGGTGCTTTTAATACCCTTTAAACCAAGCCTCAGACAGAGCTTAAAGTTACGTTGTTTACATGTATCGGGGTTAAGTATTTTATCAATTAAACAGGAAATAAAAATGTATGGAATATTTCTGATAAGGTCTTGTAAGACTGTGGAGTTTTATCTGTGGAGAGCAAAACAATTGTTAAAAAATTGATATAAGTTTCAACCATTTTTGCGTACAAGGCAAATAACATGGTAATGGTTGTTTCCACCTGCCATCTTTTATACAGAAGGGGATATATGCATACAACAGCGAGAATAAATAAAAAAAACTTATCTTTAATGTACTTCCATCACAAATTGAAAATAACAGATTTATTTGCATATACACATACTTATATACACATAAAAAGACATTGGTCAGTGCACATTTTTTTTTATATTAAAGGTTAATGTTACCAAAAGCGATACACAGAGATAGAGGGAAATGGACACTGCCATCGTATAGAGCTTTAAAAAAAAAACAGAGTAATAACATATGTACAGCTGCAGAGACCTCATGTTTACGGCAAAATGACAGAAATATCTGCTGCATGTCGACAACCCCCTCACACAGCCACAGTTCTTAAGTTGGCATAAAGTGCTAGTAAAGAGGGGGTACAGGGGGACTTGATCCCCCCATTCTAGGGAATAAATAGATGGTAGGAAAGGTTAGGTTTGGATTTTGGGTTTGCATGATACCCTGGTTTTGGGACTTAGTCTCTGGAGAGTTCATCACTCTCGGTAACAAATACCATAATATTTCAACTAATAACAGAAATACACTAGTTATATCACAAGGCATACTCAAGTGCAGGCAAAAAACCACACTAATGATTGTGAAGGCAAAATAATTGAACCCCAAGAGAACTAAAATCATTTTGAAATAGAACCTGAAAAAATACACCAAATGGGATAGATGAATGTCAGATGAATTGCACTGGATAGATTAGCTTTGGTTAAATTACCATATTATACCTCAGATACTTAATTAATTTACATAAATATAAATATATTACATATAAATGTTAACAAGCAATATAAGTTATCAGGCTCCACAGAGCTTAATAATGAATATCACAGATTTCCTTGCATATAAAACAGGTAATTTAAGAAATCTAATGCACATCAATATATTTCAGAGGATCAATCTACTTCCGTAAGTCCCCAAACATGGATGATGACAGTGGAACAGAGGAATTGACTGCTGAGGAAGTTTTATTGGCACAGCACCGTAAGGAAAAGAAGGAATTACGGGGTGGGTACTAAAATATCATATAAAATGAGTCGTTGCTTTGTGTATCTTTAAGTTGTAGGCTAAAATTTTGTTTAAGCAGAAAGATTAATTTTTGCCCTATAGTATAACAGTAAGTAAGTGGTATTTTTTTATTGAATTTAAAAGGAAAAGTTGATTTTATGAACAATAATTATTAAGTCCAAGAGGCAAGTAAAATAGGCTTTTTTTTGTGTGTGTGTATGTGTATATGTATATGTATATGTATATGTGTGTGTGTGTGTGTATATATATATATATATATATATATATATATATATATATATATATATATATATATATATATATATATATATATTATAAATATATATGTATATATATTTCTATATGACATATACATAGACATATATGTATATATATATATATACATATTATATATATAGGTACATATGAATATCTACATATATATACATGTATATACATATATACATATGTCTATATATATATATTCTCTCTCTCTCTCTATCTATCTATCTATCTATCTATCTATCTATCTCCTGGTAGAGTCAATGTACTAAAAATAAAGAATTTAGATTTTTTTTTTTTTTTTTTCATTATAATTTTCCAATAACTTTAAAGGAAAATCAAATTATTGTAGCTGTAAAATTATAATTATTTTACTAATTTAATGAAACTGTTAGAAGACCTTTAAATACTTGAAAATATAATGTTTACTGTATGTTACTTTTTCATCAATAAATATAGGGCCTTGATTTTTAACTTCATTTTAATCGGTTCATAAATTTTACATACTTAGGATATAATAGTATTTTGTACTTTATTTGCTACATGTCTAATTGCAGCTAAGATCCAGCAGATAAAAAAGAATAATAAAGATAAGAAAAATAAGAAAGAAGGAGCTGAACAGATAGCTCGATTGGAAGAAGAAATGACACAGCGGCATGCGAAAGAACTTGAGGAACTGAAAAACTCGACTGAACAGGTATTGCTTTCTATAATTACACTGATTTGTATAAATAGTGGAGGTGGTTTGTTAAGCATATTCCTCTAAATGTGTAGCCTAGAGTGTTGACTTAGATATAATTTTTTTATATATATAGATATTCATATGGTATTATGTATATGTGTATATATGTATGTGAATATGCATGTATTTGTGTTTGTAAATAGTTGTTTGAATACATAAGAGAGTTGAGCCCAAAGGGACCCATCTCCTTTATCTGCGTTATCTTTTGGAATTGAAAACTGTGTGAGTTTCGTACATCTTTATTGGTGTGCTTTGTTCTTGACTTTTGACTGCAACTCCTTGTAATTCATCTTCTGAAAAGTTCTTCCTTGTCTAACTTCACTTTCCCAGAGACAGATATGTATAGCATAATTATGTCACACTATAACTTTCAATATGTGCCTGTGTTTTTTTCTTACTTCCTGAATATTGCATCTGATTACTGTAGTCTGCATATAGATTTTCATTTTAGTCGAGCCTTTTTTTTTTTTTTCATAACAATTCCTTTTGTCTAGCTGTTGTTTTTACTGGGAATTTTTATTGTTAATAACTGTTATCCTTCTATTACATTTATGGTAGAGAAGCATCTTTGGTTTGCAATAAATAGGTATGTGCTGATAACAAGATGAAAGGTAATTCCAGTATTATTAGTAAATAATAATACTCTGATACTAATCCATATAATTATGTTACCAGCACCAGTACATGTGCTTACAAAATGATATATATATATTTTTTTTTGTATTACTATTTTTCTGTTATTGATATAGAAGTTCAAGAGGAAGTTTTATCGAATGAAAATTTGTGAGCTATCAAAATTAAAGTAACATAAGATTCGTTACCTTTTTTTTTTTCTTTCTTTCTTTCTATTTTTTTCTTTTTGCTTTTTCTTTTTTCTTTCTTTCTTTCCCGTTTAGCTCAAAAGCTGTGATTACTAAGTTGAGGAAATCCATCATAACAAGTTTTGAATTATGTAATTGACAGAATTGAGAATTTGAAGAATATCAGCTATATGTTCACCTAGTTTACTCTACCAACTTTATTCACAACCAAAAACCTGTTTGATATTGGTTAAAACACAATCCTGGCTTAATCCACTGTTGATGGGTGATTTGATATGTTATGGAATATAATCCCAGACAATGGATGTTGTCTTATCGTGAATCATTGATCACTGGCAAGTGTACTTATGTACTACTGGGAGCCAGATAATCGCCCAGGTGTGAAGCGGCTTACCCTGTTAATTGCCTATCCTTAACTGTTTTCACCAGAAGATGTTCTTGGATTGGATTGGATTTGTTGAATTAAATGCAAGTCTTAACATTTCAGTTTTGGAATAGACAGAGAAAAGTTGGTGGTTGTTGAATGATTGGTTGTGAGGTTTTCATGCAAAGGTTATGATAGAGAATAAATGTTAACAGAGTTCAAAATTTACCATTGCAGGTGGAAGCTGTAACAAATGGTGTAGCTGAATTAGATGTGGAGGAGAATTGCAGTGAACAGCCCAATGGTGCAGACGAAAATGAAGAGGATGCTGAGGATCCTAACCAAGGTCAATATAATGTATTAAAGAGTGCACAAGCTCACATACTGTATATATCATTATGCAGTATGTTTCATTAAACCAAATATATGTATTAATGCAGGAAGAAGAATAACCAAGGCAGAGAAGCGACGTCAGAAGAAGGCCAAAGCAAATCGCGAACGAGAAGCCAGAATAAAGGAAGAGAGATCTAATCTCAAGTTTAGTGCTAGGAATATTGAGGCTGAGAAGATGAAGAAAATCCTACAAGAACGATCATTAAAAATGCATGAGATCCAGCCTGATGGCAATTGGTATGCTACACTGAAATCTGAACCCCAATCTCAATCTTTCACTCTTCCTCTCTTTTTGTTCTTACTTCATTCTGTCACCCCATCTTCAGATCATACAATATTGATGCTATGATAAATAATAACTATGGTGTATAAGTTGGTTTCCATGTTTCTTGCTGATAAGAAATGATGTTTTCCCCCTTAGCATGTATGCAGCCATTGCTCATCAAATGGGAAAGGATACCACGGTTGAGACACTAAGGTCACAGGCTGGCCAGTTCCTGCGAGGTAATGCAGAAGAATTTGCACCATTTATTACGGACCCTAAAACGGGTGACATGTTGACAGCAGAGCAATTTGAAGAATATTGCAATCAGGTTGAAAACTCTCCTGCATGGGGAGGTCAGCCAGAGGTTAGTTAATTTTTTCTTTTTTAATCGTAACTGATTATCTTCTGGAAAACTTCATAATAAATAGTCATTCTCACAGATTTTTTGAAATGCTTAAAAAAGAAAAAAAACAATATTGCACTTAAGATCTACAGATAATCATGAAGTGTATCAGTATCTTTTTATCCTTATCATTTTTAGAAAAGTGATGATTTATTTCCAAAATTTGATGTTAAATTTAGCAAATTATGCAGCAGACTGTGCATTATATATACAAAAGGGTAGAAAAAAAAACAATGTAAGACTAGATTTATTGAAAGTGAGACAACAGTTTTGGAATCCACCTGGATTCCACCCTCAGACCTGAGGATGGAATTCAGGTGGATTCCAAAACTATTGCCTCACTTTCAATAAATCTAGTCTTACTTTGTTTTTTTTTCTACCCTTTTGTATATATAATGCACAGTCTGCTGCATAATTTGCTAAATTTAACATCAAATTTTGGAAATAGTATCAACACAGTCTTTGTTTCTTTTTCTGTTCCCTCTATATTTTATTTGACTAGATACTAATCTCACAGCAGTACTTTTTTCCCACCCATTTCTGACTGACATAAATATATGTAAAAATGGGTACCAACAGACATTCAGTGTAAAATGTTCCATAGAGGTAATAGAAGTAGATACTCTTTATTTTTTCATATTTGAAATTACAACAGTTGCAATAGTGATAAGTCTTTAAACCTTCGGATTCAACTCTTTGCAGTGAATGTTTTCAATGTTTTAGTGGGGATTGTACGAGTTATAAGTCTGTATTAAGTCATATAACTATATATGACTTAATAAGTAAACACAAATCCACCAACAGGTTTTAGCTTGTACCATGAAGAATTCTAATTAAGGATAAGAGGGAAATTTGCTCCTATGTTGTTATAATTTTTATTTGATGCTACTGTTGTTTGAAATAGGGATATTGCTTCATGACATTTTTACTGTATTAACTCTAGTGACAAATATAATGCCACAAAATCAGAGTGCTATTTTATGGGGATAGGAAACAGATTTTGTGCACTGAGGGAGCATTTCCTTGATGAGTGCCTTTGTATGTTAAGATTTGGTCTGAATTCCACCACTCCATTGCAAAATAGTTCCCTGTGTAAAATAAAAGCAATATCAAATATACATTTGGAAAATGTGTTCTTACTCATGCATTCATGTGAGCACTTGGTATTGCCAGTTAATGGCAAGAGAACTTTCCTATGCAAGAAATGTTTATGAAACATTATTTCATCTTTGAATGATCAGTGAGGTACATTCCCTTCCACTTCCAGGCTCACCATTTGATACATGAACTACCAGTTATATCACCTGTAGCAGAAACACATGCTTTTGTGACATTGATTGGTTAACTTAGGAATGAAGGGATCTTTATTTTGAGCAGATATACAGGATAAATGAATGAACTAATTGCTGAAGTTAATTTAATTAACTATAAGTTAAAACACTGAAGTCAGTGATTTAACTCATAGTTGAATTTTATACTAGTAATGTTACATTTGGATTGAGGTGCTTTTTCATATAATAAACTATAATCCATGGGAAGCTGATATTCTTCTGATGTAAATATAGTATGTGTCTGGCATGCAAAGATGTAACCCATTTTTGTTGACTTATTTGCATCTAACAGTGCGAAATACATACATACATACATACATATTCCTTGAAAATCAGGCAGCTTATAAAACAACTTATAGTTCATAGTCAAAATCTTAATACCTTTCACAAGTTATTCTTCATTTTGTATGTATTTCTAGCCTCTCTTATTCCACAATTAATATTCTTACTTTTTATTTTTTCAGTTGAGAGCTTTGTCCCAAGCAATGAAGAGAAGAATTGAAGTGTTGCAGGTAAGTTTATTTGGAGTTATGTCATCATTTGTTATTTTTCAGGATATAAACTGTACCTTCAGCAACAATGATGCACCTTTTAGTCATTCCGAGTTTCCACTAATATGTATTTACTTTTAGTTGCCTTTTTTTTTAAATAGAACCTTCCTTTTTTATTATTATTTGTTATTGTAACATTTTGCCATTTTTATTACAGGCTGAGGGAGCACCCATTATCTTTGGAGAAGAATGTGATAAGGACAGATCCATTCTCCTTGCATACTATCGTCACTACTATGGATTAGGAGAGCATTATAATTCTGTTGCGAAGATTGTTCTAGAAAATGAAGATCAAGAAGAACAATGAGAATAGCTTATTCTTTTTTATATGAGTGAGTGTTGTCAGGGTTGATAAACTAGAATATCTATAGATTATATTCGTTGTTTATTAAGTTCATGAAGTGACTTCGAATTTGTTACTCCGTACTTCTGTTTTTGTGGTGCTTGGGTTGTCAGAATGTGAATATGGTTCGCTTCAGGTAAAGGTAGTAATGAATGGAATAGTTAACTGTAGAAAAGATGAAAATTAATGGGAAATGGGTTATTTATTAGATTCTTGTGATATTCAGATATTTTAAAGGCTTAGTAGTAT